ATGGTTCTTCTGAGTAGGATGCGATTAATGGCCCTGCAAACTTGCATCAACACGATTCCAACGATCGACTTTCCCACTCCAAACTGGTTTGCGACCGACCGGTAGCTGTCTGGAGTTGCCAGCTTCCAGACTGCAATAGCCACCCGCTTCTCCACTGGCAGGGCAGCTCTCAATCTCGTGTGCTTGCGCCGCAGGGTGGGGGCAAGCTCCTCACACAGTCCCATGAAAGTGGCTTTTCTCATCTGAAAGTTCTGCAGCCACTGCTCGTCATCCCAGACTTCCAGGACGATGTGATCCCACCACTCGGTGCTTGTTTCCCGAGCCCAAAAGCGGCATTCCACGGTGCTGAGCATGTCCGTGAATGTCACAAGCATCGTCGGACTCCTCACTCTCACTGTCACTTTGGATCTTAAGGAATAGTTTGAAAGCCAAACGTGACATGCTGGCGAGACTCGTCAGCAGATACCTCAGCAGTTCGGGCTCCATTTTCCGCAGACAGATTGCGCTGCCCAGAAACCGTTGAAAGATGGCACCAAAGGTGGACGGAAACAAAGGGATTTCTGGGATGCGAAGCGATGCATCACGGGGCGTTGGGACAGGACCCAAAATCTCCCGCACCCACGCCCCCTTCCCACAATGCCAGAATGGGAAGAGGTGCTCTGTGGGATAGCTGCCCATAATGCACCGCTCCCAATGGCACTGAAATTGCAGCAAATGTGGCCACGACAGTGCGCTGACAGCTGTCAATGTGGACAGACTGCAGCGCTTTCCCTACTCAGCTGTACGAAGACAGGTTTAACTCACACCGCTGTACAGCTACAAGTGTAGCCAAGGCCTGAGCATCTGGGCAAGACCCACCAGACGCCTGGGAAAGAATTCTCTGAAGCAATTTAGAGCCCTCCCTATCAAGCATCCCATCACTGGCCATTGGAGATATTTGCTGCTAGCAGTCGCAGATCAGTTACATGCCATTGGAGGCAGACCCATCATACCATCCCCCTGCCCCCCCAACCCCGTCCCAAAAACTTATCAAGCTCAGTCTTGAAGCGAGTTAAGTTTTTTGCCCCCACTGCTCCCCTTGGAAGGCTGTCCCAAAACTTCACTCCTCTGATCATTAGAAACCTTTGTCTAATTTCAAGCCTAAACTTGTTGATGGCCAGTTTATATCCATTTGTTCTTGTGTCCATACTGGTGCTTAATTTAAATAATTCCTTTCCCTCCCTGGTATTTATCCCTCTGATGTATTTATACAGAGCAGTCATATCTCCCCTCAGCCTTCTCTTGGCTAAGCTCTTTGAGTCTCCTCTCATAAGGTAGGTTTTTCATTCCTCGGATCATCCTAGTAGCCCTTCTCTGCACCTATTTCAGTTTCAATTCACCTTCTTAAACATGGGAGACCAGAATCCCACACAGTATTCCACATGAGGTCTCACCAGTGCTTTGTATACTGCAGTAGTTCTCAAACTTCTGTACTGGTGACCCCTTTAACATAGCAAGCTTCTGAGTGTGACCCCCCCCCTTATAAATTAAAAACACTTTAAAATATATTTAATACCATTATAAATGCTGGATGCAAGTGGGGTTCGGGCTGGAGGCTGACAGCTCATGACCCCCCATGTAATAATCTCATGACCCTCTGAAGGTCCCGAGCCCCAGTTTGAGAACCCCTGGTATACTGGTACTAACGCTTCCCTATCTCGACTGAAAATACCTCACCTGGTACATCCTAGGATTGCATTAGCCTTTTTCACACCCGCATCACATTAGCCACTCACAGTCATCCTGAGATCAACCAATACACTCAGGTCTTTCTCCTCCTTTGTCGCTTCCAACTGGTAAGTCCCCAGCTTATAGCAAAAATTCTTGTTGTTAGTCCCTAAGTGCATGACCTTGCACTTTGGACTATTAAATTTCATCCCATTTCTATTACAGATGCTCCCCGACTTACGCAAGCGTTCCGTTCCAGAACGCCTTGCATAACTCAAATTTTGCATAAGTCGGAAATGTATCTCCGACCATTATACACAAAAAAACCCAAAAAACCACCACCACCACCTCCTATTTTTAGCTTACGGAACTTTTTCCGTAAGTGCGGATTTGCGTAAGTCGGGTCTTGCGTAACCCGGGGAGCGTCTGTACTCCAGTTTTCAAGGTCATCCAGGTGTTCTTGTATGATATTCCGGTCCTCCTCTGTATTGGCAATACCTCCCAACTGTGTGTCACCCGTAAATTTTATTAGTGCACGCCCACATTTTGTTCCAAGATCATTAATAAAAATTAGGGCTGTCAAGCGATTAAAAAATTATTCATGATTAATCGCACTGTTAAACAATAATAGAATACCATTTATTTAAATATTTTTGGATTTTTTCCATTTTCAAATATATTGATTTCAATTCTAACAGAATAAAGTGTACAGTGCTCACTTTATATTTATTATTACAAATATTTGCACTGTAAAAAAAGAAATGGTATTTTCAGTTAACCTAAGTACTGTAGAGCAATCTCTATCATGAAAGTGCAATTTATAAAATGTAGAATTATGTAAAAAAAATCCTGCATTCAAAAATAAAACAATGTAAAACTTTAGAGCCTACAAATCCACTCAGTCCTATTTCTTGTTCAGCCAGTCGCTCAGATAAACAAGTTTGTTTACATTTGAAGGAGATAATACTGCCTGCGTCTTGTTCACAATATCACCTGAAAGTGAGAATAGGTGTTCGCATGGCACTGCTGTAGCCAGCATTGCAAGATATTTACATGCCAGATGCACTAAAGATTCATATGTCCCTTCATGCTTCAACCACCATCCCAGAGGACATGCGTCCATGCTGATGACGGGTTCTGCTCGATAACAATCCAAAACAGTGCGGACCGACACATGTTCATTTTCATCATCTGAGTCAGATGCCACCAGCAGAAGGTTGATTTTCTTTTTTGTTGTTTCGGTTCTGTAGTTTCCTCTTTGGAGTGTTACTCTTTTAAGACTTCTGAAAGCATGCTCCACACCTCATCCCTCTCAGATTTTGGAAGGCACTTCAGATTCTTAAACCTTAGGTCGAGTACTGTAACTATCTTTAGAAATTTCACATTGGTGCCGTCTTTGCGTTTTGTCAAATCTGCAGGTAATGTGTTCTTAAAATGAACAACATGTGCTGAGTCATCATCCGAGACTACTATAACATGAAATATATGGCAGAATGTGGGTAAAATAGAGCCAGAGGCATACAATCCTTCCCCAAGGAGTTCAGTCACAAATTTAATTAATGCCTTATTTTTTTAATGAGCATCATCGGCATGGAAGCATGTCCTCTGGAATGGTGGCCGAAGCATGAAGGGGCATATGAATGTTTAGCATATCTGGAACGTAGATACTTTGCAATGCTGACTACAAAAGTCCCATGCGAATGCCTGATCTCACTTTCTGGTGACACTGTAAATAAGAAGTGGGCAGCATTATCTCCCATAAATGTAAACAAACTTGCTTGTCTTAGTGATTGGCTGAACGAGAAGTAGGACTGAGTGGACTTGTAGGCTCTAAAGTTTTGCATTGTTTTGTTTTTGAGTGCAATTATGTAACAACAACAAAAATCTACATTTGTAAGTTGCATTTTCACGATAAAAAGATTGCACTACAGTACTTTTATGAGGTGAATTGAAAAATACTATTTCTTTTGTTTATCATTTTTACAGTGCAAATATTTGTAATCAAATATAATAATATAAAATGAACAGTGTTCACTTTGTATTCTGTGTTGTAACTGAAATCAATACATTTGAAAATGTAGAAAAGCATCCAAAATATTTAATAAATTTCAATGGGTATTCTATTGTTTAACAGTGCGATTAAAACTGCGATTAATCCTGATTAATTTTTTGAGTTAATCGCATGAGTTAACTGCAATTAATCGACAGCCCTAATAAAAATGTTAAATAAGATTAGCCCCAAGACCGATCCTTGAGGAACTCCACTAGTAACCTCCCTCCAGCATGACAGTTCACCTTTCAGCATGACCCATTGTAGTCTCCCCTTTAATCAGTTCCTTATCCATCTTTCAATTGCCATATTAATCCCCACATTCTTCAATTTAACTAATAATTTCCCAAGTGGAACTGTATCAAATGTCTTGTTGAAATCCAGAACTACTGCATTTCCTTTGTCTAAAAAAATCTGTTATCTTCTCAAAGAAGGAGATGAGGTTGGTCTGGCATATTAGTTTACATAATGTTTATACAGTGCTTTGAGCTGGCAAAAAATGCTAGGAGATTAGTACATAAATATTTAAAATGCTAAATTATCACATGGGGGAAAAAAATCAATAATCTTTGCTGTGCACTTTGCGCTACAGACACCTCAGAAGAAAAAGAGCCACTAAGAGCATGTCTACACTGCATCTGGGAGCAACACTCACAGCCCAGGTCTACAAACTAGTACTTGTGGGGCTCATACCATCACTCTAGAAATTGTTGTGTACTAAGGCAGGCTTCCTGCCTGTCCTGGCACCACGGACCGCGCTGTGCCCCAGAAGTGGACAACAGCAGGACCGGCTCCTAGGCAGAAGCGCGCAAGCGGCTCCGCGCAGCTCTTGCCTGTAGGCACCGACACCCCCCCCCCCCAGCTCCCACTGGGAGTGCAGAGTTGGTGCTCGGGGCAGGGGCAGTGCACGGAGCCTAGGAGCCGGACCTGCTGCTGGCCACTTCTGGGGCGCAGCACAGTGTCAGAACATGTGGGAACTAGCCTGCCTTAGCCAAGCAGCACTGCCGACAGGACTTTTAACGGTCCAGTCGGCAGTGCTGACCAGAGCCGCCACAACCCAGTGTCTTCCATTCTGCAACCCAGTACTGGGTTGCGACCTGCAGTTTGAAAGCCACTGGTCTACTCCCTCCCCCTTATTTTAGAACAATACTATCCTGTCTCTCACAGTGATCTGTACCAGATGCTACAGAAGGTATAAAAACCGCACAGTAGGTAGACGGGGAATAACCTATCCCCCACATAAAGATCAAGATGAGACCTAAAAGTCAGGCACTGGCATAAACCCTGAAGCATGCAGTTTAATATGCCTTCCAAAATTCATGGTAATTAATTAGCATAATTCTGGATATTCCTGATATCTATAAATACCCAATCCCTTTTTGAATCTTGTTACACTCTTGGCCTCATCCAAAGCTCACATCCAAATGTCCTGCCTTTTTCCCCAAAGATGTACAAAAGGCAACTTGTGCCAGTGAAGACACAGTTTTGTGGTCATCAAGGGAACACATACACAGTTACTCCTAACATTCAGGAGAACAGCCTACAGATGAAACAGGAAAGTTTCTATTTATTATTCTTATTGTGGTAATGTCAAGAGAGCCCAATCAGGAGCAGGACTTCATTGCACAAGCCACTATACAAGTGCATAGCAAGACACGAACTCTTCTCCAGTTTGGTTACAAAGGTTAAAGAACAGTGCTTCTCATTAATTAATGGAGATGGTTTGCTTTCAGGTTACCTCATTATGTGTGTGTTATGAGTATAGAGGACTAGGATCCCATGGGTGGATGGTTACATCTTCATCCAGGAGGAGATAAGCCTGATTTTATCACTCTCTCTTGGAAGAAAAACAATGCACCCAGGCCCGGATCTATGATCACTCAAGCTAGGAGGTTTTAAAGGGTCACGGGGAAATAAAGGCGCCTTGGGGGCTCATCAAAAACAGGAAAGGGGACTCAAATCCCCCCCGGAGCAGCAGCTCTGGGGCTGCTGAGGCAAAAGGGAGGGGGAGGCAGAAGCAGCTCCCCGCTGAAATGCACCAGGCTATCCGACTCCTTGGCAGGGAGAAGAGCCACGAGGAGAACTAATTAAAGAAGGGGGCTTGTCCCCCTGAACATGAGAGAGGGGAATCACCCCCGTGCACGGGGGCAAAGTAGGGGAGGGGAACTGCCCAGGAGGGGGGCCCCCTCCTCCATGCATTTCAGTGGGGCCCCTCCCACGGACCGCCCCTGCTGGAGCCCCAGCTCCTCCCCCGGAGCCCTCCCCTCCCCTTGCCGAGATGGCGGCGCGGCTGCTGCCCCAGAGGTCGAGGCCGTGTCCGCCCCGCGCTGCCCACCCCTGAGGGACAGGGGAGCCGCCCCCACCTGAGTCCCACGGCTCGCTCTCCGCCTCTCTTGGAGCTACTCTGCACACCGACCCCGACGCACGCCGGAAACACCTCCTCCACGGCGCTGTGCGTCTGCCGTCACTTCCGCCTCGGCTTGGGGTGGGGGTGGGATCGCCTCGCCCGTCTCCCGGTCATAGAGCCCTGCAATTTTGCCTCAGTGCCAGGGTGACGCTCTACCCACCCCCAGGAGCATAGACAAGTCGACCTCCCGCATCCCAGCGCCGCGCAAACTGAGCCCGCCTAACTGGCTATGCGCCTGCGCAGAGCGCCCTTCGGGGTTGAGCGTGTGTAAACCCTCTGGGCGCATGCCTCTGGTGCGCATGCTCCTTGTGCCTGATGCCGGGGAAGCGCTGTGGGTTCACTTAGAGCCCCCTTTCCAGGGCGGGGCAGTGGGGTCATAGAGCGAAGCTCCAGGAGCTCCCAGCCCCAGTCAGAACTCCCGGGCAGGGATATATATATATATATACACACACACACACACTAGTTTTGTGAACTAGTTGCATGCTGTGTTGCCAATTTCATGATTGTTTGGAAATTTGAATTGAAATTGAAACATTCGTACACACTTTACAAGTATATAAAGTGTATGATCAAATACGTATATCTGAAAAAGTATAATAGAGTTGAAAAGTATTACCATAGACTAGCTGCCTTATACAGCTGTTGTTTTTTACAACATCGGTGCATTCATTTTGGTGATGATGGCCAACATAATAATTTCAAATGATGATTTGTAAACAAAGTCTAAATGAGCTCTCCCTGACAGCTAGTGATGTGCTGGGGGGAAAGGAGCTTCAGGACCAGATTGTATTTATGCCTAATCTACCTAGATATCCAGCAAACAGAGCTGTGTTACCCAAGTGATAGATTTTGGCTGGGGTTGGGTTACAAATCACTTAAATGCGGGGATAATGAAATGTTATTCTTATTGTATGTATGAGTAAAGGGCAGTAGAACTGTACTTAGCCTGTGCTGATTGAGGGCATCAAGGGGGGGCGGGGACAGGTGTTTTGCTTGATGGTATGCCTGAGTCACAAGTACTATTTGACCTGCCCCTCTCCACTGTTTAAAGACAGAGCTGATTAGGCTCCATAGATAGTCTTTTGTTTTGTTAAGTGATCACTGCAGCTGAAATCACTGATAACACTGCTCTACAGCCAAAATGCTTCTGAAATAAATGTAGTCAAACTTTACTAATTCTGGGTCA